CAATTATCTAATAACAAATGGTCTAAATGCAATCTCGTAACAATATTTAGCAAATCTGCCTCAATTTCAAAAAATCATAAAAATTTGAAATCAACCTCAAATCTAGTCATCCATATATGCATTTTGAAGTCTTGGATGTGTAGAATCCAATGCAACTAGAATTAGGCAAAAATGATATCTATATAAAATGTTATGATTGCAAGAGTAGTCAGAGGTCAGAATTACCAAAAAATACAAAATTAAAGCATTTATTTGTAATAAGCCCAATTTATTCCAATAAGTAGAAAATGGTAAAAACTCTAAAAACAAAGCATATTAATGGTGTTTATTAATCAAAATAAAACTATAAATATAAACATAAAATATGATACATCAAATTCTCCCACACTTAAGACTTTGTCCTTTGGGACAAATCTCAAAATCAAACCATGGGGAACCAAAAATAAACTAAGTTATGTACAAAGTTTATCAAGTTCAAATATTATGTCTAGAATGGAAATCAATCCTCACAATTCAAATTGACAAATGAACTTATGAAATCAAGTAAGTGAAACATAAGAGATAGAATCCTCACATGACATACTCTTAATCAATCAGTATATAAGGTAAAGTGTATCACTCAAAATGCAGTACATGAAGCATGATCAACCATAAGATTTCCCATTATCTACTTCTCCACTAGAATTCACACATATACACAAAAATCAAAAGGACTTTGCTAGGTTATAAAGGGACATGGTAAAGGTGAAAAAATTACAAAGGTAATCTAGCTAAAAACCAAAGAGGATATAAGAACAATGGAGAATGAATCCAAAGAAAGTAAGCATGAAAGTAAATCTCTTAACAAAGATATAATATAATACAATATAAAAATAATCCTCTTTTACTTTTGCTGGCCATGCAATGCTCATTTTCCTTTTTATTGCTTACTTTTTTTATTTCTTTGTTTCTTTTTTTTTTTAAGGAGCTGATTTTTTTTTTCTCTTGTATTTTCTAAGGTAATCTCCCTCATACTTATTTTTATGATCATTACCAAAACAATTTCAAAGTTCTTTTATCCCCTAAGGTTAGGTCATGTTATTCTTTTATGCCTTTGGCTTGAAATGAGCTAGGATCATAAGAAATAGGACAGTTAGGCTCAAAGGGGGCTTAAACAATGAAAATAATGCAAGGTTGACTTTTGGCTAGTAGTTTGCAAGAAAGAAATGATTCATCTATCATTTTAATGCAAGCATATGGAAATATAGTCTCAAAAAGGCTTAAGGTAAGTTTTAGTGTCATACAACCATGAGTACAATTACACAATGAAAGAAAGTAAAATAACATGATATTGTCATCTATATGGCTCAAAACCTCACAAGGTATATATTCTATTATAAATAATCCAACACAAAAGATATCAAAGTCCATCTATCAAATCGAAGAATGATTCAATCAATCCGTCAAAGCCATAAAATAACCACTTGAATATATTATGTACACACCAAAAACATAATACCCCCTACTTGAAATTAACATTTTTCTCAATGGAAACACAATAAGCATAAGGACAATTCAAATATCTAATAAGTGAGAGAGAGGTAAGAACACTTCCTATAAATCAGGGTAGGTGGCTAATTCAAAAGTAGCCTCATCTTATACTTATTTCGGCAAGTCCTCATGAAAAACCTTGAGCCGATGCCCATTAACCTTGAAGCTCTTTTGCAATCTTATATCCTGAAGTCCAACAACACCATAAGGAAGAACATTAATAATAAGAGAGGGACCATCCTACATAGATCTCAATTTACCGGGCATCAACTTATGTCTAGAATTATATAAAAGGACTTTGTCACCAATGTGGAACTCTTTATGCCCTATTAGCTTATCATAAAAAACCTTGGTGCACCCCTTATAGATGTTGGAGTTCTCATAGATGTTGGTATGAGTTTTCTAACAAATTAGTGAGAAAATGATTTTTGTGACTTGCAGAGAGAATATGTATTTCATAGTCCATTTTGTGAGGGTCTAGTTCATGCTTATATTTTTATATGAAAATAGACATTTAGAGAAAAATAACCTCATCGGTTTCATAATTTTTAGATTTGTAATGAATTAGTTATGAATTTTCTACTAAACTAGTGTTAGAAAATAATGTTGTGATCTATAGAAGAAAACTATAACTTGTATTGCATTTTGTTAGTGTATGATTTATGCTTGTATTTTTTTTTAAAGAAAATAGTTGCTAAAATGAAGATAACTTCATTGATTTCATAATTTTTAAACTTGTATTGAACAAGTTATGAATTTTGCATTTCGAGGCATGAAATTTGGAAAAAATTGAAATCACCTAAGTCCATGATGATGAATCTTTCTCTTGTACAAGGGAATTGTATTATATTCAAATATGTACCAGGTGAACTTAGTTACGGTTGTGATTTGTCTTTGATTGATGTTGTGATTGTGAATTAATTGTATAATAAAGTGGTTGAATAACCTAAGGTATGAGTGTGGGGCAAAAAGTGATTGGTTAACACATCTACCAATGAGGATAGTATAGTACCTATGTATTGATAAGGACCAAGTCTAGCTAACTTGTGTTGCAGGTAGAGAAACCATATTGAACTATCCTAACTAGTGTTTGAGTATTCCATGATTAGTGTGAGTGTGAACCGCTAGAAGTGACAATATTTTGATATAATTTTGCACTATAATTATGGTCCTAACGAGGCATAATGTACCTTATGACACTATTTGAAATAAAAACACAAAACTCTCAATTTTTAACCATAAAATTTAAATGATAGATAATTAATTACTCCATAGAGAAGATATAATTAAAAGATATGGAAACTCTGGATTTGTGATTGCTTACTCTCTTTATTCATTAGCATTAAATATTTACCTTGTGAAATAGTTTATGAATAATTACACTTATCCTTTTCTTGTTTTATATCATTTAACAATGTTATGGATGCATAATGAACTATAGGGGTGTACTTCAATAATGTACGTTATTCTCCATAGGGGTGGTTGATTGGATCATAATATTGTCAACCAGACAATATGTAATACATACCGTGACTACTATAAATGATCCTTCAATCGCCCTTGTGATTATGACTGACATGGTGAGGGTTGAAGTCTCATTCTCTCTATACTATGCAATGGACATACCTTGGTATGCATAATTATTTTCCTCTAGGTAGATCAGAAGGTGTAGGGAGATGAGTTGCCTAGGGGACAATTTATAACTACTATTGCTTACTATGTGTATTTTAGAATTACCATCTAAATCTTTCATTTTCTCTTATATTATATTTATTTGAATAGTTAAAAAAATTAAGAAGGTTTGTAAATTGCTTTATCGTATAATATTAGTACTTTTATATAAAAAAAGATAGTTCAAAAAAATTATTCCAACGGAAACAATATATTTGAGTTCAAACTCACTTTGCAGAGATGAGGGTAAATCAAGTTTTCAAGTGAAAATTATCATATCTCACATTTAAAATGAAATAATATTTTTTTAGCCTCCCTTGTGAGCTTATATTGAAAGTTGAGGTTTTAATTATATTGTTGAGAAATATAAATTAATCAATTAGAAAGTGGGAAAATAACTTGATTCAATGTTAAGTACTCCATATGTTCAAGATATTATTTTGACAGGATCAACAAGTTGTTTTTAAGGATAAACTTAATCTACAATTGAATTATATCTCTCACATTCGGTTTTAACACAGTCAATTACATGTTTCATTGTCGAAGAGTTACATCTAATAATGAATTACAAATTTTATTAGAAAATTATGAGAATGAATCACCAAATTATACATGCTTACGGTTACAATATTTTAGTGTATTGTTTTGATATATAAATAATATTTAAAATAATATTATGTATTATTATATTATTTAATATAATCATAAATATGTAATCATTATTCAATAAAATGCGGGTGGATCCGAACTCTTGTTTAGATAATTCCATCGCTTTCATGTTTTTTCATTTTTAATTATATCACAGGGGTTGTGCCAGCTGCTATTATCTTGACAAATGTTAAAACCTTCACAATTTGCTATTCGTTTAACCGTTATTTTTTAATGTCTAAGATGCATGATAAATTTTTTTAAAAATTATAATACTTGATAATATTAATATATTAAATTTTATATTCTTATAAAAATTTATAATATACAAATTTTTATTCTTTGTGTTTAAGTACATATTAAAAAATTATTTATGTAAAATTTTGTATGTGAACCAAATTATTTTAGAAAATACATCCAACTATTGTGTCTAACCAGCCCAAATACTTTCATAAGTTTAAACGTGTTTTTAATCTCTATATTTTTGCAAGATTTTAAATTTTAGTTCCTAAAATTTCTATTTTTAATTTTAATTTATGAAGACTTAACACTTTTAATTTCTCTTTGTGATGTACTGCTACAAAAAAATAACACATGACAGCATTAATCTTGTTATTAGTAAGAAGTAGAAGTACTAAATTTAGAAATTTTAAAATTAAAATCACAAGAAAAAGAAAAATGTTTAAATGACTGAAATAAAATCTTACAAAATTATAAAAATTTAAAAATATTTTAGTTAGTTTCAATATGATCCATGAATGACTTAGTTCCATGTCACTTCAAATGCAGCACTGATTGCATTTTTTCTGTCGAGGACAAGTAGTTGTGGTTGTCAACGCTGAGAAGCAGTAATACAGTTTTATTTTATTTAAAATGCCATTAAAAGCTCTCAAACGTTGTTAAAAATTAGAACGCTAATTTTTTTGAGAAAATATTACTAATACATCTTTACTTTATTTTCCAACGAATACTTGTAGTAATTTTTAATAAAATAAATTTTATTTTATTTTATTTTCTTAACCAACATTCTTAAAACACTCATTAACACCTTATTTTAAGTTTTTTAATTTATTAGCTGCGGTTGCCTTTCAAATTGAGCTGAGTCAAAGGTGCACGTGAGATACACGACACGAGTATTACACCAAGTTTTCAAATTTCAATAAAATTATTCATAATCTAAATCATGCCAAAAACTGTTGTGTAATATTTAAGGGAAGAAACCCAGTTACTTTACAACACCAGCATCATTTGATAACAACGCAATATCATTCGCTCTGCATAACTGGATCGTATCCAGAATTCTACTCTACATAGTAGTATAGTTCTTCGTTATCACTAGTAATACATCTTGCACCTGCAACAGCCGGCTATTGTTCTAAAGCTTCCCCTGAAAGAATGCTAACCTATCGAAGAAAGAATGAACTAAATCGACTTTGCTTAATCCGACGCAATAGGATGATTTTCATCCCATACACAAAATCTCCTTTCACTGCTGCCAGTGCTCCCGAGGCCTCACCCCACTAACAAAAGTATGGACCTACCACAACCTCACACTGATTTTTCTTTAGAGAGATAAGAACTCAAACAACACGCTGAAAAATCAAATGGAATAGTTTGCTTGATATAAGAGACGTAATTGAACTGGCACGTATCACTTCTTGGGAGGATCTGAACTTATTAGATTGACCCACAAGTTTGCAAGCTTGACAAAGTAATGCTTCCCATTCCATGTCACCAAATTTAACCCTGATCCGCAAAAATCATGTGGAAAATAAATTACATGGCCGAACATGATGGCAGGTAGTTTAGATTTCCATTTTTAAATAAAAGAAATCACACCTATTCCCACTTCACTTAATGGATGCAAACCGATACTAAAGCAAGTGTAAAAATTGGTGTTTAAATTATATCAACTACTAGTACATAACTGAAAACAACACTTTTTGATAGGACCTATGTTGATGACATGTCCCAATTCCTAAAATCAATACACCGACAAAATGTGGAAGGGAAATTTTCAAGCTTCAAATATCTTTTTCCCCTAATCATTCATAATGAGCTTTTAGGTGCAATGCTTTATCACAAATTGCAAGTGTAAGTGTTAAGAAACTTGAGTCTAATTCACTCTCAAAAACCAGTTCATAGGAGGACTACACAAGCCCTTATAAGGAGTATTTCTAGCCAACATGAGACACCTTAACACACCCCTCTCATGCCCAATGCTGGACATCTAATGCATAAGTTTGCAGGATTGGACATCTACATGCGGCCGTCCAATAGGACAGAATAAGCTCTGATACCATGTTAAGAAACTTAGTCCTAACTCACTCTCAAAAACTAATTATTAAGAGGACTACACAAATCCTTATAAAAAATATTCTGACTCTATTTCTAGCTAATGTGGGACATTTTAATAGTAAGAAAAAAAATCTATTAAAAACATAAAATTCAAGTCATATTTTATCGTTTTGTTTCAAAGACAGTCAGTCAATGTTATTGTGCACATACCTGGTATGAAACCAGCAGGCAAGGCTGACAACTGGCAAGTAGTTTGTTCTCCGGAGATGACATAGCTCTGAAGTGCATGCTCATCAAGCTCATGAATATACTTAATGGATTCAACTAATTCCCTTGAAATGTCATCTGGCTCAAAATTATTCTGATTTGATATACTGAAAAGAGCTTCTTCAAGTCCTGAAGCCAACCATATGCTATAACACTCATTCAAAGGGGCAAATAAACTTTTAGGATCTATGGAACCTGATAAAATCCAGGGTTTGTGAAGTTTGGCTGAAGCTCCAATAATTTCGGCCACTCTATAAATTTCCCCAATTGCATGGATATACTGGACACCTGTCAACCAACACCCAAGAAATGGAAGAGGTATTTCAGACTGCTTAAGTTCACCAACATCAGCAGCACATAGATTAGGCATGATGTAATAATGTAGCTTACCTTTTGGGTTAGATAAGATCTGGTTATTGACACCATTTTGTACAGCTTGCTTCCAAATATAAGCACCATGTTTCAGCTCTTGAGAACAAACAAAGGCTATTTTGGACCATATGGTAAGATAATTAGATTGTTCTTCTCTTGATCCCAGCTTGAGAATTCTTAAAGTTGATGCCGTATTTTCTAAAAGTTCCAAAGCAGATTTAATATCCTTGTTGACCTACTCAAATACAAATGTAATCACTAATCGTGCAATAATAACTAATAAGTTTTGTCAAGATGAATGATCTAGTGAGAAAGAAGGTTATCAATAAAATAAAACAAGAAAATATAACTACTATCCAGCAAATTTTTCAAGGAAAACTGTGGCAATTGTCATTATTGACAAAAGTGCCTAAATTAGTTATGCGATCATATATTCAGTTTGAAACTATCAAAATCCCTCAGTAGTTACAATACTATTTGCACATGCGAAAGAATAAAACTTAAAAAATACAATACTCAATATTTTCAAGAAATAGACATACCATTGACAACCTTGATGCTAGCTGGTATTCTGACTCAAGAGGTTGAAACTTAGGTTCTTTCAAAAGTTCAAGAAGCTCAACAAAGCATGCATTTCTAGGGGAATAATCTTCTAAGAGATATTCATTAGGGGTACTCATATTATTCTGATGCAGTGTCTTTGACAATTCCTGTAAAGAAGGGAAAAGTAAAAACAATGCTGAAACTATTAATAACTTGTGAATTTGATTAATAACAATGAAATAATAGCCATAAACAAATATGCAAGCAGATGAAAACCAATTTCACAATAACATATTACTAATGACTCAACTCAATCATGTTTAACAGGGCATTTGACTCCATGAACCCAAGTCACAACCAAGCCATTAGGCCAGGGGTTCTGCTGGCTTGTTGCTCAAATCCTGCCAGAACTACCTCAAAAATTTCCCATATCCCTTTCCAAAGGCTGTACACTTACTTTTTTACGGGAAAAAATAAGTACTCAGAACTACAAGATAGGCAAAGAGAGAACAACAAAATAGTTTGTATACTGACCTGAATTTCCTCCTGAAGAGCTTTTGCTTTTGCATCTTCACCCGAAAGAGCAGCAGCACTTTGAGCATTCTAAGAATATTAATTTATGGATAATTTCAGTGCCAGTAAGAATTAGCATTATCTAACAGAGGAAGATCATAAGAGTTAGCTACCTTGATATTCTGTAGATGGAACATGACGTAATTGCACAATTCATCCTTCAATTTGCTATAAAACTCTACGTAATCAATTAGCTCTAATTTTGTTGATAACGGAATTGGTGATAAGTCTTGGTGATCAAGAGTAGATGCCTGATCTTGACTTGTTCCGGAGATGGCATCTTTAAATTCCCATGAATCATCCTCAAAATCACCATCAGGATTGGTCAAATCAGAATTTAAAACTGTTGTGTTAGAACTCTCATTGACTAGTGGTGCATGATTAAAAGGATTTTTCTGTGCAGATTCATGGGAAAATCTGGTTCCAGGTGAAGCATCCTTAAAGTCCAAGTCATCATCAAAATTATCACCACTGGTAACCAAACTGGAGCCTGCTACTTTGGGGGAGGCATGAATCTGATTATCACTAGCTTTTGGTGTCACATTTGGAGAAACATTGTTTTCAGCTTGGCTATATAAATTCCATATCAAGTCATTGATAGATAAGTTGGAACCAGGGCTATTAAAGCCATTCCTTATTGATGATGTTGGTGCATAGGGAGACAAATCTTGAGACACAGAAAGTTCATCGGTATCTGGCATCTCATCTCCAAAAATTGAGAGAGGCAAGGCTTCCCTATGATTCTCTGAGCTTATTAGGGGCTTCTGCAAATAAAAAGAATAGTAACACCAAGATGTTTAAGAAGCATGAAAACTATGTCGAGTGTTAAACAAAACAATGTGCCATATGGCAAACTCGTGAATCTTTTTGTGGGTCCATAAAACCAAACTTTGAACTCAAGTCAAGAGTGATTCTCCTTTTTATTAGAAAAATATTATACCTATATAAATACCACATGAATTATAAAATATGATACCAAACTAATTCAATACCTCAGGTTTTGTTCCAATTTCTGTAACAGCATCCTTTGATTCAAACAAATTGACATCCGAATCAGTATTCATATTGACTGGGGAAGAATTGTTTTTGTTGTTATCATTCTGGTTGTTTTTGGTATTGAGGTATGATTCAGAACTATGATTGTCTTCACCCAGGAAACCAGAATTGAAGCTAAAGCCAAAGCCCCATTCATCAGATTGACGAGATTCTGATGCAAGAGATGAATCAATAGTGTGGTGGGGAGCTGCACCATCAAATTTGTGTCCTTCCATATTAGTGGGATATATGTAAGCTGTCTCCAATGGTTCCTAATACCACAAATCCATAACCAGATTGTGTTAACGGACATTCCTCAATAATCTGGACACTGTGACACAAAACATGAAATTATGTTATAACAACTCACCAAACTTCGATTTGATCCTGACCCTGAATTCAGCTCCTCAAAATTTTGAGGAAACATAGCGAACCTGTTTCCAATTTCATTCGATTCACTTTTTGGACCCAGTTGTTGTGGGCTAATATGATCTTGCAACGCAGAACTTGGACTAAACTCAAACTCCAGGTGCCATCCGCCAGATTTGTCAGATATCCCAGTGGATGAATCCATCATAGTACCAACACCAATTGAACCATTACCATGCTTTGGCACTTCCGACTTTAAGATAGAATACAGATTATCAGGCAAATGAAATTCATTACATGAAAAATAAATCTTTATAATTTTGATGACATATTAAGCAGGCATGTGTTTATGTGACCAAATCAATCTCTTGCCCAATAGCATAGACTCTTAATGAACTTTAAATTACAGATCCTGATGGGCAATGAATGACTTCAAGACTGAAATGTTACTACACCAGCACAAGATTTAAACATGTCCTAACCACTGATCAATACCTACTAGTAATTATCTCCTACCCTTTTTGTTCTCATTTCGATGCAACTAAATCAATCAGCCATTTCTCCTCCCGCGAGAAGTTACAAAAAATATCCACATAATTCCTATCTTTCCTAAACCTCGTTTCTACTAAACAAGCTGTAAAAAAGATCCACAAAGATTTTTGAAGTTAAGAAAACAAAGATCAAGCATACTTATTCATTCCAGCATTTTCTTTAGCTTTAAGTTCAATAATTCACGACCTTCAAAAAATTCGATGCATTACCTTAACATTCTGGCTCATGACTCCAGTTTCCCATTCTGCAGACTTGAATTCCCACCCATCCTCGTCCTCCGAATCCGAATCCGAATCCGAATTCAATTTGCTTGCATTCGAGTTCGTTAATCCATCAGCTTTGGAATTGGGAGCAGCAACATTAGATATCGAAATCGATCCGTTCTGAGAATTCATCTGAGGGTGCTGGCTATACAAAGTGGAAATCAAATCACTAATTCCAACGGAACCGTTCGTATCGGATCTCGATTTCACAGCAGCACCGTTGCTTTTGTCGGCAAAAACATTGGCAGAAGCAGGTTCCTCATCTTCCCCTTCTTCTTCATCCACGCCAAAGATCGAAAGCGGAATAGCCCCTTTCTTTTTGGGCTGAACGACGATGCCGTTGTTGTCGTTTACGTGTTTGTCCGTAGGATCCAGGGAAGGGGGGAACGGGTCGAAGGGTTTCGAAACGGCGCCGTTGATCTGGTTGGAATGGTTCACGAAATCCCCCCAATCGTCGTCGTCGAGGGGATTGGTGTGGTTGGAGGTTGAACGGAATGGTTGATTCGGAAAAGACGCGAACGTAAAGTCACCGAAGCTCTCGTCGTCGTCTTCCTCCTCCGCCATAGCTGAGAGACACTATTGCGTTTCTTTCTTTCGCTGCCAATCGCGTTTTTGCCTTCGATTTTGCAAAAAAAGGGTACGGGTTAACTATCACGTGTAGTGTAAATGCAATGACAGTGGCACCCCTCCAGCTATCATATGATGTGGATTTATGCTATCTTAGTGTGAACGATTGATGAATACTAATTATAAAATAAAATAAAAATACATATATAAATTGTTCTGATAATTAAATAATCGAAGCTCTTATTACTTGATTAGAAGATTATTGCTTGTGAACATTTTAATGCTTGCTTGGTTTATATTCAAAATTAATTTATAATCTATATTTATCGTTGGTAGTTGGTATTAACTATTTTACGTTTCAGCTGGTCATTGAAACGGAGTTTTTAAGAATTCCAAAACGCAAACATGCTTTTTCTCTTACTTTCCTTGATCTCTGTTTATATCCTTGGTAATTTGTCGTCATATAAATCCTTAACTTACATTTAGGAGCAGTCTAACTAGTAATAAAACATTCCTCTTACACCAACCATCTTCACAATGTCTTCAGTATCAAGGCCATTGTTGACTCCTTCGTCATGCAAAACTGAATTTTTCTTAAATTTTATTTTTCAAATATATTAACACTCAAATCGCAATATACATGATCAATTACATTTGCAAGGACGTGCATTGTGATGTTATCACATGCAAGCCCTGAATCAACAACTTTACAAAATAATAGTACACTCCCATATGCACAAAATTACAGGAAAAAAAAAACATTTTGTTCCAAATAACAAACAAATGTAAATAAAAGAATAAAAGGGAAAACAAATTAAAATTCCAACAAACGAAGCATAAGAGAACTAGAAGAGTCAAATTCAGCTGATGAGAAAAATAAGTGCGGTGGAGAACAAGGCGAACACGAAGCTGTGGGTCTTCCAACCCTCAACAAGAAGAGAATTTGCTGATGAAAAATCACCAGAAGAAGTGTTAGTGCTTATAATAAGAACCATCCAATCATCCTCGGAAGCAATCCCAGCTATCGTATACTTGGAATTGTTGAGATACTTAGTGTAGCGATTAGGTTTGGTATAATTGGAAAACAAAGCATCGGGTTCCAAATTGGGCACACAAACAGGCATGACGACCCCATCTTTTGTGGTGTTGATGTTGATCATGCATTTCCTTACGCTGTCTTGGAAGGTTGGGATTTTGGGGTTGGTCCCTGGCGCAGGGTAGTAGTCACGAAAATCTTCGCAGTGCTTGTCCTCTAAATCATCTGCGATCTTGCTTGCTACGCAAGAAGCCTTGCTACTTTTCTCAAGATCTGGAAGGTTCAGAATTTTTCTATAAACGTTTATGTCATGAAGTAGATTCTTCTTCTTCTCGGCTGCTGAGAAAGTCATCACAAAGAAAACCACGCAATTAAAGGACATCAGCGTTAAAATGTATATGTTAGTGCTTTGCTAAGCTATGATGCTTACATTTATACAATAAATTAGGCAATTTTTTTTAAAGAGAGAGCAAGGAAGTGAAGAACCAAAAATGTTAGAAGAAAAGAGTCTTACATGACGAGGGAGAAAAAAGTATAAACAAAACTGTATAAATTGTCGAACAATTTTAAAGAAAAACATTTTTTGGACACTACTTGAACATGTCTTTAATTTAAAAGTGTGTCTTTAAGAAACATGTATACACAAAAAAAGAAAGATAAAACTTAATAATATACATTAATTATTACCTACAGTATTAAGTTTTAGTACTTCAAAAGTATATTTGAATTTAAAAATGCACAGAAAAGGTGTTTATAATGTTGGGACTTAATGAGAGTCAGGGAAAGAGAGATAATTACCATCGCAGACCACTGGACTAGGAAGCAGGTGGAAGGCAAAGACAGATACAATAAGAAGATAGGGACCCAATTTGAAGGAGGCCATGCTTAAATTAAAGAGTTCAACAAGAGTAAAAAAAACACAACTTGTTATTGAATTGCAACGGGGAAAGCACTAATTAGAGGAAGAGGAGTACTTAAAACTATATGTTATATGGTTATGATAGAGCGTGGCCACAGATATATATAAGACCCCAAGGGGAGGGGAGAGTGGGAGAAATAAGCAGTAACTGTAGGATTAAAAAGAATTTGGAGAATGGAATAAGAGTAAAAATGACTAGCAAAAAGGATAATACATTTCTGTTCTGAACAATAATGAATATTTTTTAAAATTTGAAAATTACTGGGAAAAAAATTCTCAAGCATAGATTTTTAATTATTGTATCTTTAAAACAGTTTCAATATGTCAAAATGTATTATATAAATGATATTGTGAATACCTCTTGTAAGGGTGCGCGCGTCCTTCTTGGTTATTTCCTTATGCTTTTCTTGGGAGGGAGATACTCCTCACTTTTATTGGTACCTTGCTTGTAAAGAGAGGGGCTTCCACGCCATTATTCTTTTTGTTTCTAAGGAAAAGTGGTATAAACAAGATAGGCATCGTGAATTTGAATAGTTGTTTCATTTCATACAAATAAACATCTTATGTGTTTCCGTTTTCCTGATTTATTTGGCCAATGTTTTGCTTTTATTTTTAGGGTTGTTTGGAGGACTTTTTCTAACTTTATTCAATTATTTCTCTAGTTTCTAGAGTAAAACTATAATTCATTTGTAAGAATATTCGACTAGAGAAAAAATCATTTTTTTCACAAATAAGGAAGAGAAAAACTTTTTTTTTTAATTTATAAAATTGATTTCATTATTGGTTAGTTTGTTTTTAATATCAAGAAAAATAAAATCTAGATTTTAATTTTGATAATTATTAGTCAATCAAATATTTTATATAATTATAAATTAATTAATCTTTGATTTTGAAAATTATTAATTAATCTGATCTTTAATTTTGGAGCACGTCACTTAAAGATCAAATTAATTAATAATTAAAAAAATTTAAAAATAAATTACTTAATTTAATAAGTATTAGAGATCAATTTTTTTTCTAATTTAAAATTAATATGTGTCTATATATCGAATTATAATCATATTTAATTTTTTTTTTCATATCATATATATTATTATACTAATTTTAATATGCATAGATGAAGTATCAAATTCATTTATTTAATATATATTATAAGCAATCTCTAATACTTTGAGCAACCTCTATGCATTTTGTCTTGTATATTTGCTTATACAATCTACCATAGTTATAATAAGAAGGACCGTAACAACTAAATCATTATCTAGAAATTTTCTAATACACATGATCCTCATAAAGAGACAAGTGTAGAACATACTTACTTCTAGTCAGAGACTAGAGGATAGTTATCATAAATAAAGCTTTCAAAGAAGAAACCTAGAAAGAACACATGATATTACAGAAATAAGGTTTTTATTTCAGTTCAATCCGTCCATTACAAGCAAACATTTCTCCTTATATAGAGGATGGAAAGCAGCATAATTACAAGTAGACAATATCGGATAAGAACCTAATACTTTTCTGAAGGTGCTTTAAACAAACCAACAAACCATAACAACTTTTAGTACAATATAGTGATGAAAACACACCGAAAGCATATTGACAATACATAAAGGTATTCTTCAGGAATCTTTCAATTTTTTATGATGGGTTCATGACTAAGAGAGAGATTAGGATCTTCGTCTGATTGCCAATCGATATTATCTAAAACTGATTTGTCTGGATCTTGAGAATCTATCATCATATCAGTTGCATCTATTCTTGATGACTTAGCTTGATGACTCATGAGAACGTGCCCTTGTAAATCCCATTGAATTTTTTCTTTGTCAGAAAAAGCAGTTACAAGTGGTATCACTTTATGAATCTTGTTCTATGTGTATTTTTCATCAAGAACTAGAGGATAGATGATATCTAATGGTTTTAGATTAGTGTAGGTGAAATTTACTTTAATCATTTCATCTCTTGTGCCATTGATTGTGTGGAGATGTATGATCAAATCATATTAATGAAAAGGAGGTTCATCATCTTGGGAGAAAATTCTCAAATATGAATATTTATTCCATATCATTACTTGATTTTGAGTGTACAATAACCTTGATGTTTGGTGCTGGAAATATGGTCTGTGGATTATTGCAATAATCATATTTTTTGGGAATTTTGAAGGTGGCTGGTTTTCTTCTATTTCCTTCCATATAACAACTCTTTCCATTTCAGTTTGAAGATATTTCTTCCAAGTGGATAGTGGTTGATACCAAGTTAATAATTTCCATAACAAAGATGACTCCTTTTGAGAATTATTAAGAAACTCAAACATTTTGAAAGTGGAGAAGTTTAAAGGATAATAAAACAATAATGAGACACACCATAAGTACTAAAGGTCTTCCTCAATGAAGGAAATTTCCATAAGTAAGGAAAAAATATTCAAGAAAGGTGCATTCGGATGAAACCCAGTTGGTTTTAGTCTAATATTATGGTTGTGTAAGGAGAGAGCCAAGGTTGGAACATGTGATTCCTGGTGAAGTCTTTGATAAAAGCAGGAGTAATTGGTTCTTCAGTGTAACACTCCGAATTTTGTAATATTGTTTAATTATTAATGTGTATATATATATATATATGTGTGTGTGTGTGTGTGTGGATTGCCCTATGGGGTGTGTTGATTGACATGAGGATGATGTGTATATGTGTGTAATGATGTAGACATGTATAAATGTGTGAATATGATTGTGAGAAGTCTGTATAGTGTGGTTGGAATGTAATGTGAATTGTGACTAGACTGGAATAGATTGAATATATATATATATATATATATATATGTGTGTGTGTGTGTGTGTGTGTGTGTACAGGCTAAGTGTGGATGCTGCTGCAGGGCATTCTCGCTGTAACAAGAAAGCCTTAGGCGTAAGGCATGAAACTATGTCATTCTCACTGTAACGAGAAGGCATTAGGATAGAGGGGTGAAACTGTTGCTTTCTCGTTGTAGTGAGAGTCCTCTTGCTACAACGACAGAGCGACAGTTTGGGGTGCATTTCTGGGTGCAGTCTCGCTATAGCGAGATTTTACAAAAACCAAAATGCAATTCCTTCTGAGATTTTTGCTGTAGCGAAAGAGGGTGTCGCTGCAGCAAGAATATCTTGCTGTCTCTTGCGATCGGAGGGGTATTTGAAGTGGGTTAGGGCTTGAAAAATTCATTTTCCATTCTTTTCTTCAAAATCCATTCGATTCTCTTGACCCTAAACCCTATTGCACCGACTAAATTGCCTCCAAAGCCGTTCGTGAGCTAGATTGAAGGTTGGATTCGTGTTGGAAACGCTTGGAGGTGAGTTTTAATGGTTAGGGTTTCGATTTTTGTCCCTCTTTTCTGTTTTCTGAGTTCTCTTTGAGTTCTGAGGGAGTTTTCCATGTGTTTTAGGGACAAAATTTGTGTGGAGAACGTTTTCTACCATTATTTTGTGTTGGGTCTTCGATTGGAGGTAAGGGGAGACTCTACCCAATCTCATTGTATTTTGTTTACCATTTATCTTGCTAAATATTGCAATGTGGCTGAGATAGAGGAAAGGAAGTGTGTGATTGATGGAAATTATTGTGTTTGAATACAATGTGGTTTGATTGTGGGGTTGACATACCCTTGATTGAGAATGTGAGTGAATGTGTGTGAGCATGTCAATGATTGATGATTGAATAACGTAAATGGTTAGAAATGGGTGTAGATGACATGTTGAATGTAAATGTGAATTTTGTTGAAAATGATGTCTGATGGAATAAGGGCATATGTGTCGAGTGTTGTAAATGAATGTGGGCTTATGTGCTGTGTAATGTGAATGACCATGGACATTGTGCCGTGTACTGTGAATAAATGTTGTATGCAAGGGAAATGCGTGTAAGTGAAGCATGTTGAATGCCCTTGTAATGATGCTATGAATGATTCAGCGATACACTGGAGGTGTGGAAGATGAGGATGGTAGAAATACCTTGGGGAAGAGAGAGTGGTGGTGATACCAACAGTGAGTGTGGGTGCACCACAGGCTACACACTTTCCTTCTGACTAGACCTCTGACCACTACTTTTGCCAAGCAACTTGTGATTGTCCACGTGCTATCCCTGAGGCAGGGATAACTGGCGACCATCCATGGTGTGAATCTATGATCACAGTACCATAGTGAGCGTGACTGCATGCAGTGAGTGCACGCGAGTAAAATGTTTTGGTGCCGTGAGTGCATTGGTCACGAATTGAAATGAAATCCTTAAAAATGTTGCTTGTGATTAATTATACTTGTGTGACTGTGTTAGAAACTATGTGAAGGGTGACCGAGGTGAGTCTCTATGTTTCTGTGTGTTGGATAGTGTAAAGTACCCACTCTTATATTTATTTTTCAGGTGACCAAGACGATCAGTACCAGACTTAGTGAAAGATGGATGAAACTGCTATATGACTTAAAAATTTATTTTGAAAATTTGATGTATTCTTTAGTCTTATAGCAAGGATTGATACAAATTGTAATCTATCTCTATTTTGAAATGTTTTTGTGAACTATGATTTGAGAACCATTTAAATGAAAAATTTTATTATTCTCAATTTTGTAAAATTCATTTATTTGAAAAATTAAATCTAGGTGTTACATTCAGTAAGTTCAGGAGGAAACATGAGGTAGTAAGGATTGCTAGTACTGGCTTATGCTTGATGAAAAGAAAATATCAATGGATATGTTTGGGCGGAGGTAATAATGGAAATAGGCTTTTTTGGTCTAGATAATAGGTCAGGGATAATATTTTTTCTTGTTTAATATGCTTAACAGTAAAATCATACTTGGAGAACCAGTTTTTGAGCCTGAGAACTTGAGGATTAGGAGACATTTTATTTTTGAACTCTAGGAGACCAAGAAAAGAGGAATTATCCATTCATACTTCAGAATTATGTCCTCTTAAATGAAAATCAAATTTTTGGATTCCACTTTTAACTGCTAGAACTTCCTTATAAGTTGTATGATAATACTTCTTAGAT